AATCGCACTTAGACTATCACAATACACTGTAGCAAAATCCTGTGCAATACCCAGTTCACCTACTAGGCCTTTGAGCCAAATAGACTCCTTAGCTGCAGAAGTTAGAGCCATATACTCAGCTTCAGTAGTTGACAACGTAACTGATGACTGCAATGTAGACTTCCAACTAACCACAGAACCACCCAAAGTGAACACATAACCAGTCACAGACCTCCTGGTATCCACATCAGCTGCATAATCAGAATCACTGTACCCAGTGACCAAGCATTCCCTACCATTCCCGTACACAAGACCAATATCAGTTGTCCCTCTCAGGTAGCGAAAAATCCTTTTCACCCCTTGCCAGTGTTCCCTCCCAGGTCGAGCCATAAACCTGCTTACAACACTAACAGCATGCGCAATATCCGGCCTAGTACAGACCATAGCATACATCAAACAACCAACCGCGTTTGCATATGGAACTCTAGACATATAAGACAACTCCTCCTCTGATTGAGGTGACATAGACAAAGACAACTTACAACTAACAGTAGTTGGCGTACTTATAGGCTTCGATTTTTCCATCCCAAAACGAGACAAAATCTTTTCAATGTAGCTTTTCTGAGTCAAGAAAAGCTTACCTCTAGCCCGATCCCTGTAGATCTCCATACCCAAAATCTTCCTAGCTGCACCCAAGTCTTTCATGTCAAACTCCGAGTTAAGCATCTCCTTTAATCTAGCAATATCAGATTTATTCTTTGTGGCAACCAACATGTCATCAACATATAACAAAAGATAAATCATGGAACCATTATCCAGCTTACTATGATACACACAGCAATCATATGAATTCCTGTCAAAACCTTGTGAAACCATAAAAGAATCAAACCTTTTGTACCACTGTCGGGGGGATTGCTTAAGTCCATACAATGACTTTAGCAATCTGCAGGCATAGTGTTCCTTTCCAGGAACTTCGAATCCTTCGGGCTGCTTCATCAGAATCTCCTCCTCCAAATCGCCATGAAGGAAAGCCGTTTTAACATCCAACTGCTCCAGCTCAAGATCAAAATGTGCTACAATTGACAATAACACACGGATAGAAGTATGTCGAACCACAGGTGAGAATATCTCAACAAAGTCAACCCCTTCTACCTGACTGAACCCCTTAGCAACTAGCCTAGCCTTAAAACGTATTTGCTCAGTTTCCGACAACCCTTCTTTCTTCTTGTAAATCCATTTACAACCCACAAGCTTCCTCCCTTCCGGTACCTTTACCAGTTCCCACACTCTGTTCTTGTAAAGAGACTGCATCTCTTCACCCATTGCGGCAAGCCATTGCGCAGACTCACTACAACTAATTGCTTGTTTATATGTGGCAGGTTCAAATGACTCTACATCATCAGCTACACTCAATGCATAACCTGTCATCGCATCAACACAGCAATTTCTTCCCTCCATCTCTTCAATCAATCTAACAGGCTTCTTGATAACTCGTTTAGGCATCTCAAGAATGGTGTCAGGTTGACTAGATGACCCCTGATTAGATTGCTCCACCTCATCCCCAGAGTTAGAATGAGTAGGAGTAATCTCAGGTTCAGGAGTACCCGGCACTGGAACATCAGCATCATCATCAATATATTGTACCCGAGGTAAATCAGCAATGGTAGACTGATGTACCTCAAGTACCCCATCTGTCTGTAATAAATTGTCTCCTTCCCTTCTCAAATCTGAAATCTCTGCATTTTTAATTGAATACATGGTGTTTTCATCGAAAGTAACATCCCTACTAAGAATGACCCGACCCTCCGAAGGTGAAAAAATTCTAAACCCCTTCACACCATCCCCGTACCCAACAAAACACCCCTTCTTGGCTCGTGGATCCAGCTTACCCTCAATAACATGATAATAAGCAACACAACCAAAAATCTTCAAATTCGAAAAATTAGGCAACTTACCACTCCAGATCTCAAACGGAATTTTGGAATCAATTCCAGAATGAGGACCCCTATTAATGACATAACAAGCTGTTAACACAGCTTCACTCCAGTACCTCCTCCCAAGCCCTGCATTAGAGAGCATGCATCGGACTCTCTCTAGCAGTGTCTGATTAACCCGTTCTGCTACACCGTTCTGCTGTGGTGTCTTCCTGACAGTATGATGCCGACCTATACCCTCATCTGCACAGAACTGATTAAACTCGTCTTTGCAAAACTCTAGCCCATTGTCCGTTCGTAGCTTCTTGATCTTCCTTCCTTGTCGATTTTCCACCAAAGCTTTCCATTGCTTGAAAACTTTGAAGGCCTCATCCTTTGACTTAAGCAACCTAAGCCATGTGTATCGGGACTTGTCATCAACAAATGACACAAAATAGTGGTAACCTCCCATACCTTCAACTCTAGATGGACCCCAGCAATCTGAATGGATGTAATCGAGCACTGCATCAGTAATGTGAGCACCCTTGCTGAACTTTGACCTGTGTTTCTTACCAAACACACAATGCTCACAAAATTCAAGGTTGGCAACCTTGACCCCGGATAGAAGACCCCTCTTGGACAATAGCTGCATCCCCTTCTCCCCCATATGACCAAGCCTCATGTGCCAAATCTTAGTCATCTCCTGGTGAGATACAGATGCGCAAACCGCAGAACTAGGCAGTGTAACACCCTCAAAAACATAGAGGGTGTTCCTTTTGATACCCTTAAGTACCAACTCAGAACCTCTGAAAATACACAACTCCCCATCTGAAAACACACCATTGTACCCCAATTCATCCAGGGTACCCAATGAAATCAGATTCTTTCCTAAAGCAGGAACATGCCGTACATTAGTCAAAGTTAACCTCCGCCCATCAACAGTCCTCAACCTCATGGAACCAATACCTGTGACCTTACATGGAGCATTGTTACCGACTATAACCATACCCCCATTGCGAGGTTCATATGTATCAAACCAATCTCGACGTGGACACATATGGAACGAACACCCCGAATCTAGAACCCAGTTATCAGATAAATCATCAGACCTAGCAGAACTGACTAATGCTAAATCTTCCTCTGAATTATAGCTCTCATTCGGTTTCTCTTCAACTACAGCAGCCTGGGACTTGTTTTTCCTCACCGGACAATTATTCCTAAAGTGACCCGGTTCTTTACAGTAATAACATGTTTTAGTAGTAGTTTTACTAGATCCATCCTTGCCGTTTCCAGCACCCGACCCAGCATTGTTCCCCTTGTTAAACCCCTTATTCTTTTTAGACTTTCCGGACTTAACAAATAACCCACTACCATTATCCCCATTATCACTCGTAGCTTTCATTCTGAGTTCCCTAGTATGAAGTGCTGCCTTCACTTCTTCTAAGGTTATAGAATCCTTACCAACAACAAAAGACTCTACAAAATTCTCAAAGCTAGACGGTAGAGATACAAGTAAAATCAACGCAGCATCCTCATCATCAATTTTAACATCTAAATTACGTAAATCAAGCAAAATAGAGTTAAGTTTTTCTAGATGTTCCCGTAAGGAAGTACCTGACTGCATCCGGAGGCTAAACAACCGCTGTTTCAGTAATAATTTGTTGGTCAACGACTTAGTCATATACAATGACTCCAGCTTCAGCCACAATCCAGCCGCCGTTTCCTGATCAGCAACCTCCGTGATGATTTGATCATCAAGACTAAGTAATATGGTAGAGTGTGCCTTCTCTTCCATAACTTCTAACTGCGAGTCAGTCGGTCCGTCTCCTGACTCCGAAGTAGTACTCTTTGGAGCCAACGGACGCCATATCTGCTGTTGTTTTAACAGAGCCTTCATCTTAATTTGCCATAGCCCGAAACTATTTTTCCCGGTAAACTTCTCAATTCTTATTGTTGAATCTCCTGCCATTGTTATCTTCAAGAAACTCTCCAAGGATTGAACCTGAGCTCTTGATACCAATTGTTGTGCGACAGCGGAAGCAAAGGTCGAAAACAAACAAGAAAACAATAAAGAAATTCAATGCAAACAATAAGAACAACACCAAGAATTTACGTGGTTCACTATCGATGTGATAGCTACGTCCACGGGCACCGAGATCGAATGATTTCACTATAAACTGCAAAGATTACAAAGATGATTCTTGTATTTCTCAAGAACGGCTTTCACTCTATCTCTCTTCACCCTAATACTGATATTAGGGAGGTTTTATATTAATCCCTAATTAAAAGATACTTGGGCAAAAAGATAATAAAATAAGATAACCTAAAACCGCAAAATCCGCGTTCCGTATTTTTCCTTCTCCGCCCGGTCAGACCGGGCAAGGTCTGCCCGATCGGGCGCGAGAAGAAAACTCCATACGAATGCTTCAACGTATCCAACCCCCATCGCCCGGTCAGACCGGGCAAGGTCTGCCCGATCGGGCGAAGGCTCGCCCGGTCGGGCGAAGGCTCGCCCGGTCGGGCGCGAGAGCAGCTTCTTCAACGAATTTGCCAGGCACCTCTTCTTCTTCCGCCCGGTCAGACCGGGCAATGTCCGCCCGATCGGGCGGACAAAGCTACGAAGTACGAGTCACCTAATATACTTATCAACAGATAAAGTAGAAGATTTGAGTTCCAGATCAAATACTTCTGTATCCATTAGCAATTCACAGATGAACAGATCAAACTGGCCAGTGGAGTTGCAGGGTAGTTTGAATGATTCATTCAACATGGAGAAGTATTTAAGAAGGATGAGGAGGGTTAGCTTGATTACCTTGTCTCAGATGAAATCCATGTTGCTTACCAGTCCCAAGTATATCAATTCTGTGGTATAATGGGCTCTTTTTTTCATTTTGATTTTCTTACAACTAAGTAGAGTTTCTTGTGTCTTGCATCTTAATGAAATGCTTATTTGCTGATTTATAACAGAGGCAGGAATGGTCAGCAATACGTGATAATGAGCTTCAATCTGCTAGTATACAGATTAGGAACGCCCCCATTTTAAGAAGTGTGGCTGACTTGCACGCTCCTCTTTTCTGGAATGTCTCTATATTCAAAAGGTAAGCCAGTTTGAAGATATCTTTGTTGATATATGTGTTTATGTTTTTTTGCCAAGTGCTTAGAATCTTTTATTTATATTTCCTCCTTTTGAGAGCATGTTGATGAGGGCATACGAAGTTGACGCGTATGCTTCAGGATGAATTTGATCTTGGTAGAATTAAAAAACTTCGGAGAACACATTTTCTCTGTTTGATTATTGAGGCCTTCTTGTAGACTTGGCGACATTTGAGTTTGACTGTTGATTTTCTCAATTTGTTTACTTAATTCTATTAAAAGAATTTTAATGCTTTTTTTTTTCTTTTTTTTTGGAGAAATCTAATGCTATTATTACTAAACTATTTTTCTTACTCTATATGCTTAATTTTGTAGCTATCCCTTTTAATAATTATTTAAAATTTCAATCATAAGTATGAAATTACGTAACTAGCAATTTGTATAATACTATAATCTATTTGCCTGTACACAAATGTGCCATATCCTATAGCATCATTTACCGAAAGGACTGTGTACGTAGGAGCTATGACTTGATGGAACAAGTATTTAAAATTTATGTATACAAAGAAGGGCAGAAGCCCATATTTCACCAACCAGGGCTGACGGGAATATATGCAGGAGAAGGGTGGTTTATGGAACTGATAGAGAAAAGTACTCGCTTCACTGTAGAGGACCCTAAGAAAGCTCATCTATATTATTTACCCTTCGGTTCCACAACTTTACGCTGGACCTTAAATTCTGAGAAATCTCATAATCCAAAGAAGTTGGAGGATTATCTTAAAGATTATGTGGATTTGATCAAGAATAAATACAGCTATTGGAATGCTAACGGGGGAGCAGATCACTTTTTTGTTGCTTGTCATGATTGGGTATGTTTTATCCTATCTCTTTGTACCTTATTTTCGCTTTGTTGTTCAGTTTATGATTTATCTGTTAAATTATTATATGTCTGTTCTGGGTTCCTCAGTTTTTGACATTTTGTTTATCAAATAAGATAACACAAATGTAGGGAAAATTTCTTGTATCTGGAACACTGTTGTATGTGATGGTTTTTTTTTTTTTTGTTGTTGTTGGTAAATTTCATCTTTTTACTGACAAAAATGTGATTCTTAGGCTTTACGTATAACGAGGAAGCATATGAGCAGCTGCATAAGAGCTTTGTGCAATGCCAATGCAGCTAGAGGATTTAGTATAGGCAAGGATGTTAGTGTACCGGTAACATTTATTCACAATGAAGATGACCCTTTAAGAGATATGGGAGGAAAACCACCTTCAGACAGAGATATATTAGCCTTCTTTGCTGGAAAAATGCATGGATATCTCCGACCATTGTTGCTCAAGTATTGGGAGAATAAGGTATCAGACATGAAAATATTTGGTCCAATGCCCCTTGATATTGAAGGAGAAACAATGTACAAAGAGTACATGAAGAGCAGCAAGTATTGCATTTGTGCCAGGGGATACCAAGTTCACTCCCCTAGGGTGGTGGAGTCCATTTTGTACGGGTGTATTCCGGTGATAATTGCTGACAATTATGTGCCCCCTTTCTTCGATGTGCTAGATTGGGAAACATTTGCTGTTTTCGTGCAGGAAAAAGACATCCGAAACCTGAGGAGCATTCTATTATCTATCTCAGAAGACAGGTATCTTGATATGCACCACAATTTGAAAATGGTGCAAAGGCACTTCATATGGCACAAAACTCCACAGAAGTATGACTTGTTTCACATGATCCTTCACTCACTTTGGTCTAGCCGGGTTTCTCGGTTAAGGCCATTGTAGGAAGTCTTGGTGGCACCCATACTTTCGTTTCTCATCTAGCAACTCTACAAACAACAGGAGCCGGAGATAAAAATCTAGACCCCTTCATCAACTGTAAGTTTGTCATTTTAAATTTGCCGTAATTTGCAATTTATTGTGAATTTGTACAGTGTAGCATGTCTTCGAATTTGAAGTAGAATTTGATATTGTCAAATTGAGTAATAATGCTTAAAAATCGAGGTAGTTAGGTGAAAGTTAAGTAGTTATGCTCTTTATTCTTTAATTTTGGACATATGATTTAGTTAGATTCTCTAGATTAGAATGTTTATTCTGTTGATTTGAACTTATGATTTATTCACAGCAAATTAAACAATTTAGAAATACGTACAACTTCTTAATAAGCTTCTTGCATTGTTTGATTTCTTTCTTGCACATTTCTTTTGCCTCTTGTTCCAACATTAGTTAGCCAAGACTATAATATAATAGTAACATGTCAAGCATAGTCCATTGGGCCATATGGCTCGAACCACTCGGCCAAAAGTCCCGTTTTCCTCTTATGGTTCAAGCCCATGTCCTTGCAAAGCTGATCATTGTACCAGATGTGTACTGCTCCAATGCAAGATCTTCTGTAATACTTGCCAGAGTACCTCTTCATAACTTTCTCACATTTTAAGACTTCTTTCTCCATTTTTTCAATGCTTGGCAATTTGAATTTACCATCAAGTAGATCAAATAACCAACGGCACCTTAACTCTGAAGTGTACAAGTTTGCAATGCTCTCTGTAGATCCAATTACGGCTAATTGTGGAATTCGTGGATGGATACATTCCCTACAAGTATGTTACAAATTATTTATCAATATTAATGCAACATTACTTCGATAATTTCTCTCATGTATGTGTACTATTTGAAATTTTCTTACTAGTATGTCAAAAAAAAAAAAAAAAAAAAAAAAAAAAAAGTGAAATTTTATGTACACGTCACGTGCATATAAAACCAGTACAGTATATCATTATACATACTAAGTACAAAATTGAGAAATAGTACAAACCGAGATAATGGAGCTGTTTCGTTGAAAGAGTGTAATACACTTGAAATTTGGGAGATGCGAAAATGTCTTTGAGCTTTTGATCTCCCTTAAATCCAGTAGCAAGTATAACCAAGTCACTTTTAATTAGTTTTGTGGGTTGTCCAACAATACTTTCACCAAGTACAACACCACCTTTGTGAAAGCTGAAATTTGTTGATCTTTTCAAATCAATGCTTCCTTTCTCAACATTGGTGTAAAACCCTTTTGGAGTTCTTACAATCATACATGAGCTCATCTCTTGTAAAAAGTTGTAGTCTGGTACCATGTTGAATTTTTCTAGAGGTGGTTTCTTCTTAATTTTGCGCTCCACTAATTTGCTCAATCCCCATCTCTACATGTAATCACAACCATATGATTAGTACTCCCTTTCGTAGATGTTACGTGACATAATGTACTTTTTCAATTTCTTATAATTAAGGATATGAACTCTAACTTCGAATAAAGAGTACGTACCAAAGGAGAGAGTAGTGAGGCTAGGAGATTGATTACAGAGCCTTCCCCCGGTGTATGTAGCAAGAGTTCAGAAAATCCAAATACAAAGTGAAGGACTCATCTACATTCCAATGAGTCCTACGTATCATTGTGCATGGAAATTCTACTAATGCAATAAACAACATCACATTTAAGGAAGACAAAAACATGATCATTCATTTTGGTGTTGAATGTCAAAAAATCATAATGCAAGCTAAGTCATCCTGATCTCTAATTGTTATCGTGTGATCATTTCATTAACGTAACATATTTAAAGTTGTTCGTAAATCCAAAAATGTAGGCGAACTCATCACAAGCTTATTTATTACTTCGTATGTAATTAATTATGAGATGATCTTATCCGAACATGGTTTGGTTATAAGTTATATATGGGCAAAGACTATGCAATTATGCAAATTTAAGCAATTTAGGTCATACCATTGGCAACTGAACACTCCATAGCAATGTCCAATGCAGATTTTTTGAAGCCAACTACAGTAACTCGCTTCCCTTTGGTAAAATTTCTAGCATCTTCATTGTCCATGTTAGAATAGTCCATAGAATGCATCACCTTCCCTTCAAAAACCTCTGGCCCTTTGCCTAAGGGAAACTTTGGTATATTTGGCAGATCACTGAATCTTCCAAGACACAATATCACAAAATCTACTTGCATAACCTGTATAAATTATTGGAATTGGTCATTACTATGAAAAACTATCACCCTAGCTAGTCATTCACAAATCAATTAACGTATGCACGTATTATTGTTCGGAAAGTATATCAATCTAAAACCATTATTACTTTTAGAAAAGTGACAACTTTTTTCATACATATGAAAATAGTGCACAACATTCAGGCACACGAGTTCTTTATAATTTAAATAAGATAGTTATAGATCGATAAGTAATATTTTTCATGGTAAAATACATCAAACACAATAAAAAGTTACGAGGGAAGTATTAGATCGATGTAGGAGCGAATTGGAAAACTTAATTATAGTGTATGTAATATAAAAAACCTATTCACATGACCCATTTACTTACCTGATTTACTTGAGTTGGTTGAGTAAGATATTGCACGGTAATAACCCATTTATTACCCTCATTGCTACCCCAAAGAGGACAAGAATGGATTTCTTCATTATTAGAAAGACATTCATACTTTATACTCACCACCTTGGTGTTAAACTTGATATGTTTAAGCAAATCAAAATGTTTAGCATAAGATTGAATGTAACTAAACACTTGATTTTGATTAGGGAAATTTGTTTCTACAGAAGAAGGCCAAGGGAAATTTTGCTAATAGACCACTTATTCCTGCTCCTATGATGCCTACTTTTCTTTCCATTGTTAATTCTATCTTGTGTTGTGTTGGGGTTGGTGAGTGCACAGCGGAAGCGAAGATGTGTTTGATTGAGAAATATAAACTAAATTGATAATTGGCAAGATAATTAATACAAATGAACACACGATTTTATACAACAACGAGCACTTTTATTCCACTATTTGAAAGTAGGAGAGTACAAGAACCCTTGAGAGGGTGAGTATTACAAGAGAACTCTCACTATAAGAAACTCACAAGGAGTATTATGATAGTAGTGGAATGTTACAAGGAGGGAGAATATATAGTAGAAAGGCTTGTGTTTGGTATAGCTTCTTGTGTTGTGTTTTATGTTGTCTTGTTATTGTTATTGTTATGCCCTTGACCCATATTTATAGGTGAGGATGGAAGCTTCTAGATTTTTATGGGAATTTCTCCATAATTATGGCTCTTAATCTAGAGGCTTCTACTTTTAATATTCTCTAGAATATTCTAGGAGATATTAAAGTTGTAGATAACTCTAGAAAAATCAAGTGTAATCTTCTCTTGATTTTTCAGGAAGCTTCTAGATTATACTCCATCAATATAATGGGCTTATAAAATTTGGGCCATACCCAACATGTTGCTCTCCATAAATTGTGAACCCGACCTCGGTTTATATAGATGATCGATAATTAAAAATATTATATTTCTCTCAGTTTTTTTTTTTTGATTTTTTTTTTTTTGACAATAGCAAATTACAATAAACTAAAGCACCAAATTAGAGAGCGTGCACCGGCACTTTTTTGCGATATCATTAGCCTGTTGCACCTGATCCCTCTTTACCTTACTAATAATGCAAATCCTCAGATGGGCTGCCTTAGTTCTAATATCTTCAATCATCCACACAATCGAAATATCATGTCCTCGTTCGCTTCTTAAATTCTCAAGCAACAGGGCTGAATCAGAAAGAATGAGAACTTCCTCCTTTCCTTGATAAATAACCCATTTGATTGCCTCTAGACATGCCCAAGTCTCACAATGTAAAGCCGAAGAAGCCGTGCCATATCTACCTCCTCCATCAAAGGTGTGAGACTGGTTATGCCCAGATGTAGCCCATCCAATCCCCGCCCTAGTAGATGACTTGTCCTAGGAGCCATCAATCTGCACTATGAAGTTAGAAAAGCTAGTCTTATGAACACCTAACTGTACATAATTGAAGCCAGGCGGTAGAGATGGGTCAGACTGCCCCTCGACCTCATTTTGCCCCAGAACCGTAGTCCCTCCAGTGAACACCTCGTGTTCCTTAAGAGCTATATTAACCAGTTCTGTAGTCGTTGCTATTGTAATCTCATCCCTATTGAATATTCTTTTATTTCTTGCAAGCCATAGACCCCACAGAGTTGCAATAAGCCTGGTGATACGGGCACTATGTTTACCATCCTCGCTATAGAAGAGCAGGATAAAGTGTTGGATCCAACTTCGAAGAGAAGGGAAACCAGTCATATCATGGCAAAAGGTCATAGGACTATTCTCCCAGACAGCTTTTGCCAGAGAGTAAAACCGGAACAAATGTTGGCTATCCTCCATATCCAACTCACAAAAATCGCACATCGCATTGATCGCTATTCCTCTGTGAGTAAGGTTAACCTTTACCGCTAATCCATCATGGATGAGTTTCCAAAGGACTATCTTCCATTTAGGTAAGATATTCAATCTCCAGATAATTTTAGTAAAGTTTTCACTTTTTGTAGAAAAGGAGAAGTTGTCAATCACCTGATCTTTACAGAGAAAGTAATACCCCGTTTTGACACTGTATCTCCCTGACTGATGATGTTTCCAGTATAGGTAGTCTTCTTTTGATTCCGATGGAAGTTCCATAGCTAGGATTTCTTTGGAGCTATTCCAGTCAAAGCACTATCTAATCTTACCAGGGTCCTAAGAATTGCTTTCTCTATTTATGAAATCACTCACTCTCCATCTCATAGTAGCCCCAAGAGTTTGGTTTGAGTTAGCTATAGGGATTTGACCTTTCACCCAGGGCATGCTAAAGGCCTTTATACTTTCCCCATTTCCAACTTTCCACGCAAAGCCCTCTTTGAAAGAAGAAAGCACTCTTTGTAGTCCTGACCTGCCCATTGATAGTTTACCTGTCTTACTGTGAAAACTAGAATGTGCTCTGGAAATAAGGAGTTGTGGGTTGAGTTGAAATCGTGTGGCCTGTTGAAAAATCAAAGCCTCATTAAGTTTCGAGATGTTTCGAATACCTAGGCCTCCCATACTTTTTGGAAGTTGGATAACCTCCCTACGAACCCAATGCATTCCTTTAGAACCCTTGTTCGCCCACCAGAATCTAGCTATTAAAGAATCAATTTTGTTGGCAACACTCTGGGGAAGCTTAAAGCATTTCATGACATGAGTCGAAATACTAACCAAAACTGTGTTGATGAGAATTAACTTTGCTGCTTGGGATAAGTGCAAAGAGGCCCAAGACACAACCTTTTCCTGTACTCTGTCAACAAGGTATTGAAAGGATAGCCTTTTCTTACCTTGGATATCAATCGGTGCCCCTAGATGCATCCCCACATTGGTCGTTTCAGCCATAGACAAAATCCTCTTTAGAGAAACCCTAACCTCTTCCGTTGTACTAGGAGAGAACTTGACAAAAGATTTTTGCAGGTTTAGCCTCTGTCCCGAAGCCGTGCCAAATCTTTGAAGAATATCATTCACACACATACAAGATTCCTCAGTAGCCTTGAAGAAAAGCATAGCATCATCAGCAAAAAACAAGTGGGAGATGGATGGGGATCTCCGTGAAACCTTCAAGCCCTTTATCTGGTTTATGTCTTCTGCCAGTGATAGCATCCTAGACAGGATATCCATGCAGAAGAGAAACAAGTAAAGAGACAGGGGGTCCCCTTGTCTTAAACCACTCTTAGGAGAGAAAGGTTTTGAGGTGTGCTTGTTGATGACAGTTCTGTAACTAACTGTAGACACACATTGAGATCTCATCCTAATCCAATGGTCGAAAAATCCATGTAAATGTAGAACTTTTGTTAGGAAGGTCCAGCTTACCCTGTCATATGCTTTAGACATGTCGATCTTAACTGCTGCAAGATTTGATCGACTTTTCGAGTTAATAAGATGCATCAACTCATGGCTCATCAGGATATTATCTTCCATATATCTCCCCGGGATGAAAGCATGCTGGTAGTCGGAGATGATGTTAGGGAGCAGTAATTTCAGCCGGTTGACCAGACATTTAGAAATACATTTGTAGATTGTGTTACAGAGGCTTATCGGTCTAAAATGACTAGCAGTTTCTGGAACTTTGACTTTCGGGATGAGGACCAGCAGTGTTTGGTTCCATTCCTTTAGCATATTACCAGTCCTTATAAATTGTTGGACACTATCAACAACCAGTTGTCCTACATCCTTCCAAAAAAGGTGGAAGAAATCCGCAGTTTAACCATCCGGACCCGGAGATTTAGAACCATTCATATCAAACATAGCTTTCCTAATTTCCTGAGTAGAGAAAGGTCTATCCAGCCGCGCCCTATCCTCCATACTCATAGCTTGAATATGCAATTGTCGAAGCAGAAGATCAATATCTTCCTCATGGGTTACCCCCATTTCGGGATTAAAGACGCTCTTAACCGATTGCAGAATCACCTCCTCAACTTCAGCTTGTCCCTCAACCCATAGACCTTCTGCATTCTGTAACGTTAGGATGTCCTTGAATTTCTTTTTTTGTTTCACCCTTCTATACATTAGTTGGGTTGGGCAATCACCAAACTTGATCCAATTGGATTTCATTCTCTGTTTCCAATATTCGAAACTTAGCTTGCAATCTGGGATAAGGGAATTTATTTGATTGATGTAGTGTTCCCCGTCCTGCAGAGAGGTAATGCTCTCCCCTACCGTACCCAAATCCGAAGAGACACCCTTCCAGTCAATTCCCCAAATCTTTTTGTTCTTCAAACACCAATTTTGAAGAGAACACCTCAAATTACCCAATTTCTTTGCCAACTGAAACATATAAGACCCGTGCACTTCTAAATTCCAACAATCCATGACAATTGCTTTAACCTCAGGGAATTTGAGGCACCAATTGTCAATTTGCTACGGCCTATTAGATCTTTTGGAAGATGGATTAGAGTAGTAAGTGATCGCTGCATGATCAGAACATACGATTGGCTCATGAACCACTCTTCCATCTGGGGTGTGATTAAACCACTCTTCGGTAATGTAGGATCGGTCAAGTCTTTTGAGAATAAGCTCTTGACCCATTCTTTTATTACTCCATGTAAATCTCGGCCCTGAAAACGGAACTTCAGTGACATCACTCCTTAGTCTCCAGTCAAGGAAAGCATCACTACCTCTAATAAAATTGGATCCTCCAATTTTATCATTCCCACTCTCAATTTGGTTGAAGTCGCCAATAACTAGCACATTTTTGTAATTTTCCAAAAATAGTTGAAGGATTCCCAAATCACTCTACGGTTCTCCACAAGAGGCTCACCATAAAAGAAAAGTACATACTTAGAATTTCCATTTGACTTAGAAATTTTACAAAAGATGATGTTTTTAGAATAGTACATGCAATCAACTACATCATTTGACCAACTTAAAACTAACATACCTCCACTAGTACCAACCAAATCAAAACCAAAAAACTGAGTTGGTCTTAAGCAATCTAACTTATGAGCAGCATTATCAAAAGCCATTTTAGTTTCCGATACAAACAAAAACATAGGAAGTTTAGTACGGTAGATCCACACTAGATATGGAATTGCAAGGGAGTGTGGATCGTTCAAGCCCCTACAATTCCATGCAACAACATTCATCTACCCCTTGGAGGCTGTTTTGGTGCAGCCCCTTCACCCCTTGTCAAAATATTCCCTGCATTTAGAGTTGTAATATGCATATCAACATCCATGTCTTCCTCCGAAGCCCTAAGAGCTGAAGTCACCTCCTCACTCCTTCGCCTTTTACAAGATTCAGAAGACGAAGAAGACCCTTCTTGGTGTCTTTTCAGTTTTGCCCTCTTAGCTATGTCCTCATCAATTTCCATCCCAAATTCCCTCGCCATGTCCGGATCTGAAATAGCCTTCGAAGCGAACCTATTTCCACCATTTTTATCCTTGAGCCATATGTTGAAACCACCCTTCTCCGACCACCTGTACATTCTCTTAACTCTCCTTCTCTCTACCCAAGACAAATCCATTTCGCTATTTCTAACCGAGTCCCCATCACAAGAGTGAGGATTGTGTTTCGTTGCTTCTTTGATTCTGTGCCTTGAGTTAGCACTATCATCATAATTAAACAAATCAGTAAAATTAAAGGAGCTAAAAGGAGATACTGGGGTGTTTGGGGGATCAAACTCCGTTAGAGGGAGATTTGGTAACCCCGCAAGATCAGAGCTGAAGAGCCTTAAGAACGGTGGTGTAGCAGCCCTTGGAGCATGGGCTATGTGACGGGGGTCACTGTTCCTTGCATTCCTTATTCCCAATGAGAGAATGGTGCTTGCCTCAATCACACACGCATACTCACTATCATTCAAGTGATCAGAATCCAGCCTATTTGTTGCCATTATAGAAAGATTCACCACCCCTGGTTGAGGCAAAGAAGTAGGAGGTAGAGCCTGGACATTATTGTCGAGAGAATTCAGATTATTGCTGCCAAAGATGGCTGGTGAAGCAGCCCATTCAGAAATACCCAAAGTGCCAAAGATTATTTCTCTCAGTTGCTTCTCATATAAATGTATATTAAGTTATGTACATAAATTAAAAAGTCGTTAGTTAAGCAACTTATATAATATAAATTTTGATTACGAGAATCTGAAAAGTAAGAGTTCATTAATACATTAAATGATACAAACATTAATAAGATAGAAAATTTGGTTGAGTGGTCAAAATAATATGAAATGAATTAAGGAATTGAAGTACAATATGGTGTTAGTATAATCTTATAAATTTGTTACAATTGAAGAAATCTGCTACAAGGATGCAAAATTATTCTCTAAGAGATAGCAAGAAATCTTTCTCTTCTCTTGATGTTTAAGTCATTGACCTTGGCTCATACGTACATATACTTGTGTCACCTAAAATTGAATTAACTTGATAACTTGGTAAGCAAAGAAGCGTTTATTATGATAGTTGTAGCAAATTAAATTTAAAGCGATATACGTAATATAATTTCTATAACTTTCATACAATTTTATTTTTTTTACATGTCTATACATATCTTTGATTGACCCAAAAACAATGACATACAAGTATTTAGTTAACTTCTATTTGTAGAGAACAACCATTAAACGTAATTACTGTGAGAAGCAAGCAATGATTAGCTAGATTACCTAAAGTTAACGAAATAACAAGTATACGACAGAAGAAGATGATGAACGTGTATAGTACTTCAATTCGTATATATGGAATTACCATTATCACTCAATCGTATTGTGCATGCGTAGGAACTAGGATTCTTAGGCGCAAAGCTCTACTTGACTAGGCTAACATAAGATGAGGAACCTGAGAAGATAAAGTAGAGTTATTGCATAGTTGCATATAGAAAAGGTTTATTACTCACATAATATATTAGATTAGTAGTAAGTTAGGATATGCAGACACTTCAATTATTGCATAATTGCATAGAGAAATTAAAAGGTTTATTACTCACACAATAGATTAGATTAGTAGTAAGCTAGGATACACATACACTTCAATTATTGCATAGTTGCATACAGAAATACTTAAAAGGTTTATTACTCACACAATAGATTAAATTAGTAGTAAGCTAGGATACACGGACACTTCACCTAACAGATTATTAGACTAATAGTAACTAGTCAAAGTGTAGGGTAGAAATTACAAAGGAGTAAATTAAAGGATGTATGACTGTATGTCCATGAGGACAGGGGCGGACCTTTGTTACAGTGGGTTGGGGCCCGGTCCCCCTAAATTTTTCTAAATTGTTGGTTATAAGTATTTTAATGTCTAATAATTACATTTAAAAAGTTATGATATAGTGATTAAATATTGTTATTTTTAGCAAAAGGTGAGAGGATCAAACCTTGACTCTCCAAACTTTTTGGCCCAAAATCTGCCATTACATGAGGACAACATGAACTTCTTGTGATCCTATTTTCTAAATTGGATCTTGAAATATGTCTAAGATTTGGATGTCGTCATGATAAAAGGGAAAAAATCGTGATACTTTCTCATGAGGATGATTTTTTTTTTTTTTTTTTTTTTTTTTTGCTAAGCTTAATTGTTGTCTTGAACATCAAATTAGCTAGGTGTAAACATATTTGTGGATGAAGAGTGTAATACATAAACAAACATAATAATGTACAAATTTGGTAAAAAAGACCCAACTTGCATTTTTAGGTTTGGTTGATAAGAGATTTATTCAAATTTGATTAACCTTAGCTTATTGCTTTCAAAACCTAAGAGCACAAGAATTTATATAGAAGTTTTTTTTTTCTCTCTTTTGCTTTTTGAGGGAAAAAGTTCATCCTACTAAAATAACTCAATTTCAAGTTAGTTAATCTCTGTTAAGATTTAATATTAGGGGCTACTAAATGAGGCCGCCTCAGTTACTCAAAATGAGAAACAAAATTTGTTTCTCAAGAGGTTAAATTTGAAAAAACCGCTACTTGTTCAAGTAAAAGACTAAAAAAAAAAAAGTTACATTTATTTACAACTTTTCCATTTAAGACACATGATTTATTTCTAATGTTGAGAAATTTGGCTACAAAACAATCTATTAAAGGATTATTTATTCACAAATAAATATAGTACAAGTAGTTGTAACTAATTTTATTTTTTAAAAAAACCCCTGAAAATTTAAAGAAAAACTGATTTTCAATTTTGTAATCAAAGTATTCCAAAGTTTGCAACTTGCAAGTGGGAATAAACAAACCAAAAGTTCAACTTTCTGCATCTCCAAGCTGGGTTTCAAAAAAAAAAAAATTTAAGCTTATAACTGCACAATTCTGGGAACTGGGGTTTTCAAGCTAATTTTAACCTTCTAAAGGTGAGTTTTTTTCCTTAAGTTATGCTTTAATTAGAAGAATTTACGCCGTTAATCATGTAATTGCTATCTGAAACTGCAAAGCTTTGAAATTGCAAGTTATAATTTGTCAATATTAGAAGAACAAGCTAGCAAATTTGCATTAATTTCTGTTAAATATTGTGTTTTGTTGTTGCTTCATATGCTTCCATTTTTATGCTATGGTCTTTAAATTCTGAATGCCCAGAATTCCAGAAAATTTTCTGGGGTTTTCCTTTATTTTTTTAGCTGATTTAGTTCTTGGCAAAAGTGGAAAATTAATGATTAGCTTTTGTATTTTCATTTAATTATGTTATGTTTTTGTTCATATGTATGATTTAAGAGTTTTTTTGTGCATGTTTGCAGTGAACTGGAAACTGATTTTTAAGGTTTGTTGATGAATCAATTTCTGAAAATAATACTACTATTGTTGGGAAGTTAACTGGTTCACCATATGAAAACATATGTTAAGCTAGTCTTGAAGTTAATTGGTGAAATTAGAACTATTATAGAAGCTAATGGAAGAAAAGGATCTCTGTAGACAACCATAGGAGATAGATTCTTGGTTTGTGCCCGGGCCTCGTCCTTTTCTTAGAATTATTTGGTGGTTGAATCTTAGAATTTGGTGGTGGTGGTGTTGCTAGTGTTGAATCTTAGAATTATTTAATGGGTATGGAGTATTCTGCTCAATTCCAAAAGCTGTGTCAAATTGAAGCAAGGAGGAGTTTAATAATAGTGGGTATTGTTGCTATTGCCTATGTGATGCTTCAATTCTTTATGCTGCCGTATGGAAATGCATTTAAGTTCCTACTTCCGGATAATGAAGTTTCTCTTAGTGCCAAAAGCGGCTATTCTTCAAACCAATCATCGGTTAGAGCAGAAAAGGAGGGTGAGATTAATCCTTCAAGTTTTGTAGAAGTGGTTAGAGAAGATGATAAGATTAATGATGATGATGATGTTAATGAGGATGACAATGTGTCAAAGGAGTTTGATAGAACTAAACAGGATATTGTTGCATTGGAGGGTAATGATCGGGATGAATCTCTAGGACTTGACAAGCCTTTGAAGTTTTTGGATGTCATGGAGGATAATAACTCCAAGGTGGAGGCAGATAATGCTGGAAAAAGTGAGATAGTGGGACTGGAGGATCAAAATTCATTTGACAGCGGTTTGGAGTTGAATGAGAGTTCTAGTTTTCATGGAAATGAAAATGTTGAGAGTTGGAACCAAGCAAATCATTTACAAGCTGAAAATGTGAGGAAGCTCCCAGATAGTGATCTTGATGTTCCAAAGAATGATTCAGAAGTGATGAGTGTTCGTCGGAGGAAGAAGGTGAGACCTGGAATGCCTCCATTATCAGTGACACCCATAGTCAAGATGAACCAGATATTAGCTCGGCACCTTGCCTCTTCTAGCAAAATGGTATGTCCTTTGACTATCCCATTTTCTTGGTAGCCCTAACCATTTGAGACTGTAACAGTAATGAATTTATCCTTCAAATTCTTGATGTTGTCCAGGAATTGATTTTTTAACTTAATATTTATATGTGATATAGTAGAAACCTCATTGGTTGACTCTCCATGACTGTGACAAGGAAATTTTTGATGCAAAATCAAAGATTATCTATCCTACTGTGTCTGATGTTGACAAGGAACTTCATGCTCCTGTTTTCAGAAATGTTTCTACATTTATGAGGTAAGGGCTAAAATTGTTCATGTTGTTGTGATAAATCTTCTCAGCTCTAGTGAGAGGTTTGATAAAAGAGCTCTTTCCTCGTGTGTAGTTATTTGCATAAGCTGTTCACTTGACATTAAACAGAAGTTTGAGAAAAGTTATAGGCTATTACATTATTACACCAGTCATACTAGGCTTTAATCTGTCGGAAACTTGAGGAAATAATTATTAGCAACACTATAATCAACATACTGCTCCTTGAATAGTGATGCTGTCGTCGAATATAAACTTATGATGCTTTGTTATACTGTTGAATTATACTAATCTTAATAATGATACTTATACCTGTGTATTAAGGCCTCAATTTTTGCATAGTTTATTACCTCTGTAATCCGGATAGGTATATGCTTGCTCATCAAAAAAACAATTCCTTGCACTGCAGGAGCTATGAGTTGATGGAGAAAACATTGAAAGTGTATGTCTATAGGGATGGAAAAAGGCCCATATTTCATCAACCAACACTTAAGGGACTATATGCTTCGGAGGGGTGGTTTATGAAACTTATGGAGGGAAACAAACACTTTGTTGTTAAAAACCCAAACAAAGCTCACCTATTCTATATGCCTTTTAGCTCAAGAATGCTAGAGTATGCACTGTATGTGCCAAATTCTCACAATCGCACGAATTTAAGGCAGTTTATGAAAGGTTACACTGAAGCAATTGCAGCAAAATATCCTTTCTGGAATAGAACTGGGGGAACAGATCACTTCGTCGTTGCTTGCCATGACTGGGTATGTTCCTAATCATTCTACCGACTAGTTTTATTTCTCTTTTTGCTCTTTGTTGGCATTTTTTTTTTTCTCATCTAAATGATTAATTAAAACTTAAAATTGGAAGTAATACTACATCACCAGAGATGATGCACTAACCTAATTTAACTAAGAGGAGACCTGACCCTAACCCAATTTCGCTGAGATGCGGAAATTTTTCCCAATCTCAAGGGTATTTTTTGATTGGAAGGTGCACCGATGAGACTAGGTGATGAAATCTAACATGTTAGCAAATCTGCCCTGTCGAACTGTTAAATAATTGTTGGAAAAGCATGAGCAGTTTGTGAAATGTTTTTCTTTGCACATGCTTGACAATTTTATTGTTTTTAGCACTTCATGAATCGACATTTTGTGGTGATCTTTCGGTGTTTTGCATATTTTCATGTTGGGTACTTTTAGGCCCCATATGAAACAAGGCACCATATGGAGGAAAGCATCAAAGCCCTTTGCAATGCTGATATAACTATAGGATTCAAGATAGGGAGGGATGTGTCATTGCCAGAAACCTTTGTTCGTTATGCAAGAAACCCTCTCAGAGACATTGGAGGAAAACCGCCTTCTAAGAGAAACATCCTGGCTTTTTATGCTGGAAACAGCCATGGATATTTACGTCCAATCCTGCTAAAACATTGGAAGGGCAAGGACCCTGATATGAAAATATATGGTCTATTGCCCACTAGTGTTTCAAGAAGGATGAACTATATGCAGCACATGAAAAGTAGCAAGTATTGCATATGCCCCAAGGGCCACGAGGTCAATAGCCCGAGAGTTGTGGAAGCCATCTTCTATGAATGTGTGCCTGTAATAATATCTGATAATTTTGTCCCACCCTTTTTTGAGATCTTGAATTGGGAGGCATTCTCAGTTATTGTTGCAGAGAAAGACATTCCAAACCTGAAAGACATTTTGGTATCAATACCAGAAGAAAGGTATATTGAAATGCAGCTTGCAGTAAAAAAGGTCCAGCGACATTTCCTCTGGCATTCTAGACCCGTGAAGTATGACCTTTTCCATATGATCCTTCATTCTATATGGTATAGCAGAGTATTCCAGATCAGAAGGCAATAACCAAAAAATACAAGACCAAACCATTTTATGCTAAGGATTTGCTAGGAATGATGTAAAGATGCACAGGATGGAGCTGCAACCTTGTTTGCTTGCTCGCTCTATCTCTGAACAGCATAAAACGGGAGATTATACTTATACCAGGACCTTATACAACACATTACATTAGGTATTTTACTCATGAATTAGCCATCTTGATATATATTGTGTAGCTGTGTTCGATTCCACGTACTCATTTTTTGTAATAATATTATTAATAATTATTTTTTTGTCACATGAAATGGGTAACTTACCCACTGAATAGCTCAAGCCATTTCCATTAATTGGAAGTGTCATTTCTTTATTGATCTGGAAGCCATGCCCATCATTGTACCTTCCTGTAAGATTGTATACTGCTTTCGGACGTCCTTTTATCTCAATTTCCAGTTCGGAAGGATGTTTCCTTTTACCTGAACATATATAGTGATAGCCATAATACAAGTATATGGGTATTAAAAACATCGATGTTACCTTTTGAAAATTAATAATATAATATTAGTGCAAATGAGCTGATATGTTAATGAACTACTCGCAAACAAGCTCTTTGTTATAACAAACTAATGGCCAATGGATCCGACTCACCCATTTTGCACGGTTACAGATAAGCCGACCCACACTTACAGGAAGAAAAGTTTGGAGATTAAAGACAATGCAGTCCTTCAATTCCTGCAAATCTCAACTTTGATTGACAAAAACATTAATGTTGTAATTCAATCCCGATAAAGGTATGTTTACTTATTCTGTCACTCAAACAACTTCTGAATATTTCATTTCATAGAAGGAAGTAATTTTTTTTTTTTTTTTTTTTTTTTTTGATTCATAAACTTCTTTATATTTGTTGCTTAGATTTACTATGCACATAACATGTCAATTTATTGTGTCGATGCAATATTACTTTACAACAGGCAAAAATTGATATGTAATATATGTCCATTGTGTACAAGACCTATTATTGTGTTGATTACTCTTAATTTTAATCTTAACTTAAACATCCTTGTAAACTCGAGCTATACATAACAAAACCGGTTAATACTCGATTAACTAACCCGTATGATCAATTTACAATCCAAACTCAATAAAAAATTACATGATCTACATCTTACTTGATCTCATCTAATTTATCCCAAAAATTATTTTATTTAATACTTCGTCTAACCTAGCTGATTCTTCAACAAAACATGATTCGACCTGAATTGACCAGGTCCCTCAAAGTCGAGCCCATATGCAACAATCCATATCTAGTTATCTACAATAGTTATCGATATGTTGTACATTAGCTTCAAACGTAAGACTCTAGTAGACTTTACAGCAATTCCAATCCAACTAAATTTTCAATTTTCATGCAATTCTAGTGAACAACACATTCGTCTCCGTTGCGCCACGTATCTTAATTTTGTTCAAGCCCACCATTTTATCACCAATTCTCCACGAAACATTTTTTTAATTCCATTAATCCTATCACAATAGAAAGAAGGTTTTTGGTTAAATAATAAAATTTCAATTATCTAATTTTTAACGAAATTGCTCCCATTTTGTGGGTCTAACATGCTAGGTGAACTTTTCCTTCTTTTAAGCAAAGCACTGTTTTCTTTTCTTTTCTCATATTCTATTTATCTAATATCTTATCTTATTTTCGAATGAATTAAATTTAATTTGATCGTGAACACGTCTTTGGTACAATACCCAATGTATACCATAGAATATATGTTCTTTTGTCGTAAAGAGAGTTGTAAGGTGAATGACATAAACAAAATTCGATCTCAGATTATTGATATCACTCTCAAAACTTTAACCAATTAATCAAGTTTAATTCACAATATTTTTCTCTTTAAGGCTTCAACTCAAAATCTAGTGTAATGAATTTTGATCTACATTATAAATTTAGATAAGTTTAGATAAATTATAAACTCAGCCTCCTTATGTCTAGAGTTTCAATTGGGTAAGAAAACACAAAGGGAGAAAAAGTGAAGGTGATTTGGATCAGAAATTCTAAACTTAAATTTTGGTCCAAGATTTTGCAGACATCACAGTTAAAGCGTGAGAATCAAATTACTTCCAAAAATGGCGGTTTGATTTAAAAATTGATTCATAGACTTTACCCAATTTATATATTTCCTTGAAAGTTGAAGTTTTGTTTCTTCTTTATTTGTTCTTTTTACAGTCTGACTATAACTATAAAAATCAGATTTTGCTCCCCAGTTGAAGATTGAAAGTGGAAATCAAGTTTAAAGTTTGTATCTTTCTTTTTCAATATTTTAATCAAATTTAAACAAAAACTATTAGTTTATTACCCAATTAATAATTGATAAAATATTTAAATTTATTTAATAATAATTTGTGGGTTTTTTTATGAGGTCATTTTGGTCAGAGTTGGATGATTCTGTAACAGATAACTATTATTTGGTCAGCTCTTACCGCCATTCCCATTTCATGGCCACTCAATCTTTTTCTACTTTCAGTTAGAAATTATTAATTTTTATTTATATAATAATACTTTTTTTTTTATAAATATATTAGAAAATTGATTTATATAAATATATACAAGTTGTATTTACTCAGTGTAGTGTACATGGAGTATGGTAGATGTGAATACTCATATAAATTCTGGGAATTAATTTGATTAGTGGTGGCCAATTTGCTTATGGGTTTTGCAGGTATGTGTTTTCTTTGCCTTTTTGTTATTGGGTTAGAATCATTTTTAGTCCTTCTATGTTGCAAGTTTCCTAATATTATGGGAGGAAGTTTATAGTAGAGTTTGTTTTATTGTTCATGTGTATGAGATTGATCAATTTCGGATATAAACATAGATTTTTCTCATAGGTGATCATTACACTTTTTAAGTTGATAACTATGTAGTGTTTTGGTGAAGTGAATGAGGTGAAGTTTTTTTTCATGTGAGAATGTGAGATTTGTCTGCTCCTACTCTATGGAAGCTTTTTTTGTTTTTTAACTAGAAATACATGCTTGATCTTAAGAGTTAGAATTGGAATTTCAGCTTTATAATGGTATTTTGTTGTGTTTGTCTTCTTTGTGAGAGATCAAATAGATCAAACTTGTTAATTGTGTGGAAAGATTGAACCATGTAAATCTTGGTTAACTTTTATATGCAAAGATAATATGGGATGGGTTGTTTGATTGGATTGGATGTATATCTTGGTTTTAAGAACTCGGCTATTTGCATAATCTAAAAAATTGCTATAATGCTTATAACTTTGAGATCTGTTTGTTGTGGTTAGTTGTATATGTCCATGCCTTTATGAGAAGCTTGATTATACCATTCTAGCTAGCTCTGCTTGGCCTATAGCCATCTCCGAAAAAGATGTGAGAAATCATCTCCCAATGTTGGTAGATAGTGACAATCTAGGTGGGATTTCTTGTTATCTCCATGACTTAATAGAGAGGTTTTTGGTGAAAACTTAAAATATGTGTGTGAATCCTCCTATGGAGACTGGAGAGGGGGTGGGGCATTTATGGGGTGAGATTGATAATTTAATCAATCTCAAAGATTACATAACTTTCTCTTTCCCTGAGTAACCTGAGCAATCTTTTGTAACAGCCTGTTTGCAGGAGATCAATGGATGACATATTTACCAGGATCTTGGATTTGACATCTTACCTAAGCACTCCACTTCTTCATTTACTTGGTAGGTTTTTTGTTACTCTGTACTTTCGTATATATGTGTGAATAATGTGATGCCATTATATGGTGTTGCAATGTTAGCAAGTATAACAAATTACTTTCTCCACTGAGCTTTAGAATCATGAACTAAATGTTTGTAAGGCGTCGTTTGTGTGTTTTTCTAATTACATGTCTATATTTTTCATTAGATGATTTGTACTCTGGAATCTTTAATGGACATTTGGAAAGTCTTGTGGCTCGATTCTCAGTAGAGTATTCAAGCTCTGCAAGATCTGCTTTTGGAGAATGCTCATCATCTCCGAAACATAATGCTGCCATATATAGAGGAATACAGAGAAGAGCTCTAAATGTCAAAGAGCCTTTGTGTGTAAATACAAGTACAGAAACTGAAACGGAAACAGGACAAACTCATGGAGGAATGCCCCTTGTTTTTGGAGGGTGATGTTGCTTTTTCTCCAGTTCTTATTTTCTTATGTTTTTTAATGTAAAATACAAATTTGATAAAAAAAAATTCATTGCTGCTATATTACATGTATTCTTACCTGAAGTTTTTTCATAAACTGTAGGTTGACTCTCACATTATATGGTTTGAGGATTTTTCAGAGATTAGCATTGGCTTCTTTAAGATGTTTTCTAGGGTATTGCAGATTTACAATAGAGCAAGTTAAATGGTAAGCATATTAAATGAAGCCTCTGACATCATTGCCTTTTGGTTTGTAGATGTAGCACCAAAAAGGCAATCTTTTGGATTTCCACCTTATCTTTTGCTTTGCCTTGTTGTTGTCATTTCAGTACCATATCCCTAGTAAAAAAGGGTGTGCGTGGATCAGCTGATGATATAGGTTGGTTGCAGCGCACTCCTGGTATGCCTCCTGTTACAGATGGAACAACTAGATTCTTGGAAGTGCTTCAGGATGTCAGGTACATACTGATGCATATATGATCAAACGGTTTATAGTTTATATTCTCGTTGTTTGATTTTCTGAGTCCTTAGGTAATAGGTAGTGACTAGTGAGTTACCATTTCAGCTCAAAATTTCTATTTTTTCTGTATTCTGTTGTTCATTACTTAGTATATTTTACAAACTTTTAGAGTATATTGGCTGTGTTCTCCTGCTGTGCTAACATCTTGCTCATATATAACAGATTAAATTCAAAGTTCATCGTGAATAACGTGTAATCTGTCTTTTGTTTCCTGTGAAGTAATGATGGATGCTAAAAAGCATGCTCCATTGTAAATGAATGAAATGGAAATTTTGGCTAATATATGTGGTGATGTTTTACAAGCTACAGAACAATTTGGATCACTATTTACTTTTGCTATGGATTCCCCTGTGGTTAAGTTGCAAATTCATGGCTTCCTGTTTATTCCTTATATTTTTCTCGCAATAATAGGAGACAATGTCATTAAATCATTCAACTTATGTTTTTCTCAGGAACGGGAATCATATGCTGCCTGATTCATTTGTATACCTTCTTATACCAGGTGAATTCCTAGGATGATTCTCTTAATTGCCTTGATTGAAGATTGAAATTAACACATACAGCATGATTCCTTATATTCTATATTTTCTCGTGTTCATTTATTAGGCCTCTTTAGTAATCATGGCCCCTTGTACTTTGTTGCAACCAAGAGATACTTTTCTAAGATGGGCCTCGCTTGCCACATTGCCAAGATACATAGCGAGGTGAAGAGAATTATATTATCTTTGATTC